TTCATAATTTTACGTAAAAACAATATCACATATGTGGTGACGTGAACTTAGATATTTATCGATAATATTTGTATACATACATACACATAAACGTATGGTTTTATATATGTATTTGAGTATTAATTATAAGAGGGTGGTCAAATACATAAATGAGAATCTGGGTGAAAAGCCGACTCAAAAATACTCATGCAGTCTCCATTTACACTCTGTAATTAGAAACACTCAAGAACTGATCAGATCAGATCCCAATTGTTCAATCTGCCTATCAAATTAAAGAAAACCTGGCCCACCTGAATCAACCGTCCAGATTAATCAACCCACGGGCCAACCCAGTAGGGTCATTAAAAACCCACCAACGATCTCTGTGGTGCCAGCAAAATGCCCACACGTGTCTAATATAAATTGTATATACATACATGCATATTTATACATACAATACAAGTCGCTCACTTATAAATATACACACACACACATATGAGAGAGAGGGAGCGAGAGAGAGAGAGAGAGAGAGAGAGAGGAATGATCCACCTGTTTGTCAGTGACATTGTACATTGGTTTGGGAAATGAGCAGCAGCTGGGACCCACCACCTGAGCCAACACCTGGAACTGATAAGGTCTGGGGCCCACCCCTCCTATTAACCCTATCTCTCTCAAAAATCTTAATCATTGATGCAGTAAAACCTTGAGATTCATTCATGGCAGAGATTATTACAGTCAGCAAAACTTAAAAAGAAAATTGTTAAAAGGAAAAATTCAACTGCTAATATGATTTGTGTATATATGTGTGTGTGTATATATATATATGCGTATATATAACAACCCGCAGTGTCACTGTTTCATCTCTTTCACTGTACATGAAACATTTCTCCCTCTTGTTTTTTCACCACCCACCAACTACTAAATACTATACACACAAGAGAAAATTCAAATATTGGTAGTTAGGTAGGGGGAGAAAGCTGGTACTGTAAATGCCATGCCATCAATACATATCTCTCTATATATATATATATGTAGAATAGTCAATTTGCGCTGCAATATTACAAATCTATAAGCACAAATTTCACAATAGTAGTGCTTTGTATTTTTTTAGGGGAAGAAAAAATTTGCACAAACAATGATGTGATCATGAGATATATTGTAGCAGTAAATTAAAAAACCCAAGAAAAAAAGAAAATGAAGAACCCAGATGAGAAGTTTAGGCAAACGATGTTAAAAATATAGTGTCATCCTTCTCTTTGTCTCAGCTCTCAAACCCTAAATTAATAACCCCATATTAATCACACCCAAAAAAATTGGAATCAGAGAAAAAAAAAAAAAAAACTCAAATTTCAATCAAACCTCACGTGTGTTACACATCAAACTACACAAGTGAATGGATGAATATCGTCATCGTCATCATCAGTTATGAGTAGTACTGGTTGTATCATGCCGATCATCTCCTGCTCCACGGGACCCACTTGCCTGTGATTCCTCAACGCCGGCACCTGAGACTGTCCGGTAAGGATTCAAGCCGGCGAGCATGTTGAAGTGGCTTTCGCTCACACCACCACCTCCACTGCTCCCGCTTCCACCCAGTTGCTGGCCGGGCAATAACGCCATGGGAGCTGCTGGGAAGTTCATGAAATGTAAGCCACTGGACACGGTTCCCCTATACAACCCACTGTTGTTAACGGGAGGAAACGTCCATATGGGATCCCCGCTCATCACTTGACTATTACTAGAATTAGTCAGCATCCAAAAATTCGCCGGGATTTGCGCGTGGCTGGCGGGAATCGCCCCGGCGCTCGACTGGAACAAGTAGCTTCCCATTTGATGCTGCGACGAGGACAACTCCTGCTCCGGTCTCCTCTTCTTGACCAAGCTCTCCTCAGTCTCCGACAGGTCTAGGGAACTCTCCTGCTTGGCTTGCAACACGGCATTCAGATTGGCCGACGACTGAAAGTTCAGAAACGACGTCGTGGCGGCGGGGTTGTCAGGGAAGAGGGCTCTGCTGCCGCGTAAGGAAGAGGGGAAGTTGGAGGCGTAAGGGGAAGAGCGGATTTGAGAAGGAAGGGACATGGTGGAGCCGGAGCTGCGGAGAGAGATGTTGAGGGAGGTGAAGTTGGCGGGGATTGTGCCGGTTCCAGTGGCGGCGATAACGGCGGGCTCAGCCTGCTGTAGAAGCCACTCAATGGTCTCGCCGTCAGATTTATGACCAAGTTCACGAGTGAGCTGAAAAACCCTAGCGGCACAAAGAGCTGGCATGCGGATCCTGCGGCCACGTCCGTCGACTTTGGTGTGTCGGTCTTTGGTTGAAGTCCTCTTAGGTGGGGCTTTCTTGGGCTGTTCTGGAGAGATTTGGAGACCCGAAACGGATCGATTTGAAGTGGGTTCTTGCTGTTGTTGCTGCTGTTGTTGCTGCTGTTGCTGTTGCTGTTGCTGTTGCTGTTGCTGTTGCTGTTGTTGTTGTTGTTGATGATGATGATGATGATGAGTTGAGAGAGGAGGAT